TTAACAGGCAGAAACCTCGGACAGATCCTTCGGCTCTAGGTGGGTGGTCATCTGCCTTGACTTGAAATAAGAATAATGCCTTTCTTTTTACCGAATCTTCAAGACCCCTCACATTTAAAGAAGCAAATGAAATTGCTCTGTTGGATTTTTTCCAATTTAAATTGCACAACTGTAAAGGTTGTTGCTGTTTAAAAAAAACAAAAAGAGTGTCACTATATGTAGATGGTAAATTAACCTGTATTTGTATAGCGCCTTTATAGTTTTCCCAACCACTCAAAGTGCTTTTACACTACATGCCACATTCGCTCTTTCACAGTGACGGCAAAGCCCATGGAACAGAAACTAACTCATTCTTGCATTCTCACACAGCATTGGGAGCAATTTGGGGTTAAGAATCTATGATCAAGGATACTTCGACATGCAGCAGGGAGGAGCTGGGGATCAAACCACCAACCTTCTGATTAGTGGACGACCCGCTCTACCCCCAAACCTTTCTCCTCCTCCTTGCATTCCTTAACTTCCTACAGCATTAAACTGCACTGCAGCCACTGCATTAGCCAGCTTAGCACTCAGCTACTCTGTTTAGCTTGTTCCCGTTGGGCCACTTGTTCGTTAATTTTTTTTTCATGATCGAATGGCTCCCAGTATCGTCAGGTTTGAGACTTTGTCCTCCTTGGTTGTACTTTACTTTTCTTCTTTTGTCAGCCATGGCTAACTTCCATGGCATAGCCATGCTGCCGTTCAGTCCGCATTGCATCAATTAATTTAATTTTCAATCTGGCAGGCTTGATCATATTTAAGTGACTGGAGCACAAAGCAGAAAGGGGTGGGACTTAGGAAGGGTTAACTGCAAATTGCAATTGAAGCGGACCCATTTTTAGGAGTTGTAATACAATGGCTTTTGTAATAATCATACACATTTTGTATACAAAGTAAGTGGCTGAGAGAATTCGTGTGTTGTTTATATGGATCATTGAAAGCAGCACAGTCAAATCCTGAGATTGTTTGTTTTATAACTGCTGGAATAAGGCACAATCAAATGTGATCAGCCATTCAAAGGGTCAAAGTGGTTGTTTAAAATGTGCATCTCTAATATTATCTAATCTTATCTTTAATTTACACAATCAATAAGTCAATATTGTAGAATCACACCCTAAACCACTGAAAATGAGATGGTGCCACAATGAATGATTGGCAAGCCCTCAAATAAGTGGTGCTGTACTTCATACCTTTGTCTCTGGCCTTGAGCAGGATGCTGTTGCGTGTTGCATCATCACAGATATCAATGGCACAGAAGGTCCCCTGTCCTCGAGCACGGCTCAATATGCCAGGGTACTGAGCCTGGGGGACCAGACACATGTGGTTCACATTACTAAGTTCAGAGAAATCATCATACAGATGCAAATAGACAAGGTGTAGTGAAATAAACACCCAAATGTGTATTTTGGATGTTTTCTTTCCACTAGTCTGAAAGAAGACATGTTATAGAAGCAAAGATACCGTAGTCAAAAATCTCAAAATTGACCATTGCTGAAAAAAAGAGAAAAGATTTTGACTGTAATGTCTTACCTTAAACAAGTGTTTTGATAAATTACTTGATTTACTAATTTTCTGCACTCACAGTAATCTTAGTAGTTTCTGACATTATACTTCTCTCCACTGTGTCCTCTGCTGTCCACTGTGTGTGGTAGAGGCCAGAAAGCCAAGGCTGCACTCGCGACCATAATTTAGACCTAATAAAACAAACTGCACCATTACATATGCACACCTACACACACAAACGCACTACCTGTAGCTCATAAAGGCCGTTTAGCAAGGCTTTCCCAGAACGCATCACCTCCTCCAGAAGGTTTTCTCTGCGAATCACATTGAGAACCTCAGCCAGTAGCAAGTTCTTTGATGGGTCACCCATCCATGTGTTAAAGATACGGTATGGCTGAAAAAAGTTGACAACAGATACACAAGCAAACACACCTGTAAGTAAAAAATGACAACGATCTTATTAACATATTTACACATCTAAGTGACAGCCAAAGGACAGTAATGTAACACTATTATTAAGTCGTTTTGACATTTGACGACGTGTAAATCATTATCAAAACCTAAGCTTTTAAATACATCTATAATATGTGTCATTGTATATCATGGCAACACATCTGAGTCAAGAAACAAAGAACTAGATCAAGTATGTTTGGCATGTCCAACAGATTCATACTATAGAGTGTAGAGGACACAACAGGGCTTCAGACTGTCGTGTTCAAATTTGAAACACAACATTTACAACTTCACCAAGGTGACTAAAATGTACCGTAAATTTCGTTGTAGAAATTTTATATAAATCACAAACCTTGTCAGCCTGTAATTCATTCTTGTGGTAGAAGCCCCCAGTCAGAAGCTTCTTGCTGAAAGAGACAATGTCAGCAGGATCATCCATGCCCCAGTGCTCATGGGCCCAAAACTTTCCTGTGCTCCCTCCACCAGTCTGGACTTCATCAACATGGAAAGCACAGCCATGCTGTGGAGATAAAAGGTTAACAGACTGAGACATGGAACATGTCTGAGGGTGTTCATGACGAGTAATCACGAGACTCGTGTTCTTACTGGGGATGCACCTAATAGGCCACAGTTTTTACAGCTGCAAGGATGTTTGTCGGACCGGGTGGTGAGTAACACTGGTGCCTCCCAGGAAATGGTAAATGGTAAATGGACCGTACTTATATAGTGCCTTTCTAGTCTTTGTGAACCGCTTTCCAAGAAAAATGTGCTGTTACCCTCTTCTCGAGGTCCTCTGAGATTTCTTTTCCTCTCAGGTAGGGCTGCACGATATGATAAAACATCATATTGCAATTATTTTGACTGATATTGCCATTGCATTATGATTCACGATTATTAAACTCCAAAATGCTCTGGAGGTTGACATACTTTCAAGCAACACTGTATATCAATATTTGCTTGGGAAATCCACCAAATGAACATATTTGAACTCAAAAACATTACATTATTGCAGGACATTAGTTAGGCATCGAATATAAATATCTAAAGGTGGCATTAGAAATCAATCATGATTAACTTAAGCAAATCAAAATGTGGCCATAAACATTAAATTAATAGGATTTTTTTTAACATGCTATTTTTAAAATGAATCTAAATTAATATGTTCAATCTGACAACATTTGACACCAAACTAGGGTGGCAGCTGGGGTGGCCAGGCACTTTTTAATGCTATCTTTCTAAACCTGGTCGGAGATTCAGGATTTTTGTATGCATTGTCTATATCTCTTTGTTACTGTGTGTATACACAAATCAGCCTAAATAAATCTAAAGTTAAGTAAAAAAAACTAGTTGTACCGTCACTTTGAGCCTTATGTCTCTTGTGTGGAACAGAGGACAGAGCCTTGTGTGTTAGGTGTTGAGGCACTGATCTTCAAAGCTTTGAACTACTACGACTTGGATTGTATCCCATGTGTATGTCACTTTGGGCTAGAGTCTGCAAAAGCAAAACATATATTGTAAATGTGAATTTCAAGGACTTTTTTTGTAATGACTGGACTATACCTGACCCAGCATCAGTATCGGTGTCCAAATGGGGGCTAGATCTATGTCTTTGAAATATGTTATAGGGTTGCTGGGCTCAGCTTTAGAAAAAGGGTGAGGAGCTCAGACATCCAGAGGGAGCCCAGAGTAGAGCCTCTGCTCCTTTGCCCCAAAAGGACCTAGCTGAGATGGTTAGGGCATCTGATTGAAGGTCTGGAGGTTTTCTGGGCACGTCCTACAGGGAGGAGACCCTGGGGTAGACCCAGAGCTCACAGAAGGGACTATATATCTCAGAAAATGCCTTAGGATCCCCCAGGAGGAGCTGGAAGGCATTGCTGGGGAGAAGGATGTCTGGTGTGTCCTGCTTGACCTGTTGTCAATGTAACCAGACCCTGGATAAGTAGATGATAATGGATAATTGATAGAAGGTCTTAGAGAGGTTTACATAATCTGAACACCAACATACAGACTCTGACTTTTGCAAGGGCAGAGAGACTGGCTGGATGGGTTCATCACTGGAATTAATGACCCTGTATACCAGTTCATGTGGCTCAAAGTGATGCCTCAGGCCCCTTGGTGTCTGTGGTGCTCCCTCCCTCCCTGTATATGGTTGGCTCATCAAGTGCTTTGGTAGATTTCCATTCCCTAGGCTAAGGCATGGACATCGACATTTGTTCTATCTGTGTTCTAAAAATGTTATAACTATCTTGCAGCCTTGGAATCCATGATAGGTCTAATATGTCCCCAATCTGTTTTGTCCTGATTGGGTACTTTTTTTAAAATCCTGGATAATACAGGTGCACAGTGCACACTTCATGTACATTAAATTTATGAAAAATAATGTATGTCCTGTGAAGAACAATAAAGTATATATCTATCTATCTATATATCTATCTGTACAAACAAAGTAACATTGAACCTTGAATGTTTATGCTTGACAACAGAATAGATCTGCAATGCATTAAGAAAAAAAATGCCTGCATTTCTCACTTCAGTGTTTGTTGATTCTGTGCAGCCTTTACCTTAGTTACCAGAATGGATTGTGTTCTGTGTGTATTCTGTCGTCTGTACATTGTACTTACTACATTGTACTTGTACTTAAATGCACTTCTGCTCATATATATTAATTACTCTCAGCTTTTTGTAGTTGTTGGCTCTCTACCGAGCAGGGGTCCCCGGGAAGGCCGGCAGCTCAGAGGTGTGAAAAAGAGACAGACAGCGGACAGTTGATGAAGACTGCACTGCATTGTGCATGAAATCTTTGTGAGTAAA